AGTCGACCTCCGAAGCACCAAGCACACCACCCCCAGAGGCAGCACCAACACCAGCTCCAGACCCAGGCTCTCCAGAAACCGAAGGAACACCCTCACCCCCAGACGCAGCACCAGCACCCCCAGACTCCGCACGACCAGTACCAGCCCCCGGAGGAGAAGAGTCCTCTGCAACCCGCGGCTCAGCTCCAACTCCAGCACCCCCAGAACCAGAGACCTGTACAGGGACAGTCGTAGGACCAACCTCCCGAGAGGGAGCACCTACAGGAGGCGGTGAGGAAGACTGTGGGGAGGGAGGCTGTACAGGGGGGGCTACCGAAGGGGGAGGGCTAGCCTGAGACACACCAGACGGGGCTGGACCAGGGGGGGGAGGCTGTACCGGGGGAGCAGGCGGGGGAGCGGCTGTCAGGAAGAGGGGGGGAGGAGGAACCGGGAGACCTCGACTGGGGTACCTGACGTAGTACGGGGTGGACTCCTCGAAACGGACGTCACGGGAGTCAAAGAACCGGTGAGAGGGAGGGTGGTAAAAGGTGAAGTCAGAGGAGTCCTCAGGGAAACCAAGGAAGACACAAGGAACGGCGCGAGGCGAGAGCTTGTCCGCGGAGGTGTCGCGGACAAGAGCCAAGCACCCCCAGACACGAAACCTCGACGCGACACCAGGGGACCCTGTCCAAAGACTGGTCGGTGAAGCCTCCGGCCGAGAGACGCGTGGCCAGAGGTTCAGCTGGTGCGCGGCGTACCTGACTGCGTATGGCCACAGGAAATGGGGGGCACGGGCGTGAGTCAAGGAGGTGCGGGCAATCTCCATGACCAGGCCTATGCGACGCTCAGCAACCCCATTCTGCTGTGGGGACTCCGGAAGCGTCCAGGACTGACGAATGCCCTGTTCGCGACAGAATCCAGCGAGAATGCCGGAGCGAAACTCGCCCCCGCGGTCGGAGTGGAGACAGCTGACACGACGACCACGAGTGTCCTGGGTGGTAAGCAACCACCTGATCAGCGTAGAAGTCACCTCAGACTTCCTCGCCAGGGGGAACACTGTGATGTAACGGGAGTAGTCGTCAACGACCACCAAAAAGAAACGCTCACGCTCAGGGCCAGGGCGAGGAGAGGGGCCCCAGACGTCCAAGTGCAGCGTCTCAAAAGGCTCGGTGGCCGGACGAAGGGAGGAGGAGTGAGGGGTGGCGCGCAGCCTACCCTCGACGCAAGGACCGCACGGTGGTGCAAGAGACGGCGGCAGCGACGGCAAGACACGCGGGAGACCTAAGACCAGACGCTGACTAGACATAGCACGCAGACGTGGAAGAGAAGGGTGTCCCATCCGGTGGTGCCACAGAACGGTGGGGTGGGCAAGCGACCGACAGGAGCAAGACGCAGCGACTGGACTGGACGCGACAACCTGAGGGGACGGAACCACCTGGTGAGACGCAGGGAGGAGACTAGGGGGAGGGACAGGAACTGGGAGGAGTGGCAGCTGCGACGGCGGCCGCTGTGGCTGCGGCTGCGGCTGCTGCTGCTGCTGCTGCTGCTGCTGCGGCTGCTGCTGCTGCTGCTGCTGCAGTCGCTGCTGAGCGCGCGGGCGAGTGTGAAGAGTGTAGAGACCGGAGCCCGGCTCAGCAGCAAAAGTGGCGAGGGGCTGGTAAGAGTCCCCGTCAACACACACCGCAGTCTCTCCAGAAGGCTCAAACCACACACCCACGTGCTGACTCACGAGGGGTCGCACGCCCACCAAGTTCCGGGAGAACGAGGGGACGTGAAACCCAGTGAGAGACCCAGAAGGAGCAGCCGGACACGGCAAGGTGGTAGTGTGACGCGCGGTGACTGGTCCCGAAGTGGGATCAGCCAGCGCCACAGAAACAGGCGCAGGAAGAGGCGTAAGTGTCGTGCTGTCACGAAAGAAGCAGTGAGAGGCTCCAGAGTCCAGCGTGAACGACAGCGAACCGTCCTCTGAGGTAGCCGCTGGACTAGAGTCTACACAAGAACCTACACTAGCAACAGGCAACTGAGCAAGGCTAGCACCTAAGCTAACAACACCAGAGTAAGCAGAGTCAGAAACACTAGAGTCAACAACAGCATACATAGCATGGGGAGTACCAATCAGATCCACTAACTGCTCAGCAGACATGCCCCACAGAGCGGAGCCGTAGCGCTGAACAAGAGGCAGCCAGTCAGGGGCAGGAGCACCCACCCCGTAGACCAAACGAACCGTGTCAGTGAGCTGAGCAAAGCACTGACCAGTAGGGTGAAACCGGCCACAAGGGTGGCCACGACGAGGGCCTGTCAGAACCTGGTAGGTGCAGGGAGTGTAAGCAGCACCGCGCTGGGTCTGACGCAGCCCCGACCCTGGAGCCAGCTGCTGCCGCTGCTGCTGCTGAGGCTGCTGGGAGGAGAGGGGCTGCTGCTGCTGCAGAAGCTGCTGCTGACGCTGAGCCTGGTACCACGCCGCTGCTCCACCAACCGGGGCAGGAAGTACAGGAGGCAACTGACGAACTCGGGCGTCGCCACCACTAGCAGGCGCAGTGGAGTCACCAGTCACTGCACGAGGCGCCTCTCCAGGCCCTGAACCTCCACCGCCGCCAGGCGCAACGCCACCTCCACTACCTCCGCCTCCACCTCCACTACCACCACCAGAACCGCCTTTCTTGCCACTCCTACCGCGGGACCGCGACGCAGTCGTAACAGCAGCTGCAGTCGCGTCAGTAGCGGCAGTGGCAAGTGAGGCAGTAAAGGTGGGTAACTGCGGGACTGTGCACCCGTGGAAGAGTGGGGGGGGCACAGCACCAGAGGCAGCGGCTACCGAGCGAAGGTTGCTCTCGACGTCCTTGAGTGCAGACTCAAGGACATCGACGGTGAGCTCACTAGGGTGCTTCAGCAGAAGCGCGTCGCGAACGGAAGCAAGGCGGTTAGGGAGGCTAGTGGCGATGAAATAGATAGTGATCGCCATAGGGGGAGGAAGCAGTGCAAGCTGTGCCTCAGTGCAAGCAGCGCGGTAACTAGCGTCGAGCGAGCGGAGGTGAGCGATCAAGTCAGCAGAGCGCTCAAACGAGGCGAGATCAGGAAACAGGAACGGGAGGAAAAGACGGCCAAGAGAGACAGTAGCGGGAGTAGAGTAGCGGGCCTTAATCGCAGTGAGGTACGCAGCAGCGGTGCGAACCTGAGTGAAGTGGACCTCCTCTGACTCAGGGAGGAGGCTGCTGAGTGCGATGCAGGCCGCAGCGTCACGCGACGTCCAAGCCGTCCTGTCAGCGCGCTGACGGGCAAAGCGAGCCGTAGCAGCATCGTCAGGGGCAGGACCTAAAGCGGCAGGCTCGGGGGGCTCGGGGAGGTCACCAGTAGCGTGCGACCAGAGGGTCTCGCCCCCCTGGACTTGACTCTCTAACAGACGGCGAGCGCGAAGAAGCCAGACGGAAAAGTCAAGAGGTCTACCGTCAGCGTCGAAACGAAGAACTCGCGGAGTCGCCATAGCGAGAACTAACGCGAACGAGCAGGCGAGTAACAGCAGGAGGTAAGAGGCAAATTAGGGTTCAGGTGGGGGGACTTAGTCGCAGCGGAAGAACGGGCTAGGGCGACGAGCGGGACGGGGGAAAGGGCGGGCGCGATGCGACGGGGCAGGGCGACGCGACGGGGCAGGGCGACGCGACGGAGCAGAGGCGACGGGACGGGGAAGGGCGACGCGACGGGGCAGGGCGACGCAACGGGGCAGTGCGACGGGAAGGGGAAGGGCGACGGGACGGGGCAGGGCGACGGGACGGGGCAGGGCGACGCGACGAGGAGACGGGACGGGACGGGGCAGGGCGACGGGACGGGGAGACGGGACGGGGAGACGGGACAGGGCGACGGGACGGTGAGACTGGACGGGACGGGGCAGGGCGACGGGACGGGGAGACGGGACGGGTAGACGGGACAGGGCGATGGGACGGGGAGACGGGACGGGACGGGGCAGGGCGACGGGACGGGGAGACGGGACGGGGAGACGGGACAGGGCGACGGGACGGGGAGACGGGACGGGACGGGGCAGGGCGACGGGACGGGGAGACGGGACGGGGAGACGGGACAGGGCGACGGGACGGGGAGACGGGACGGGACGGGGCAGGGCGACGGGACGGGGGAAAAGGGCGCGACTCGACTGGGGGGAAAGGGCGCGACGCGACGGGGGGAAAGAGCGCGACGCGACGGGGGGAAAAGGGCGCGACGCGACGGGGGGAAAGGGACGCGACGAGGGGGAAAGGGCGGGCAGGACGCGACGCTAGGAGTGGCGCTAGGCGCGGCACTACGCGCGGTAACAACGGAACCGGGACGAATGAGAGCTAGGATCAGGCTCGGGAGGCTCGAACGGAGAACGGAGGAACGGGATCCCACAGGATCCTAACCTAACTGATACCATGTCAGAATGAAGAATGGATGGTGCATTGATGTTGGTTGGGGTACATATAGCTAACCCTAAGTTTTGTACCCCCTAAGACAGACCTCACTACAAGCTACAACATTTGACACCAACTTGAATGTCCGCGCAGTCCATTGACGCTCGTGCGCACGTTTGTGACCCGGTTCACACGTAGATTTGTGTCCAGTGTTCCGTGAGTGACTGCATAGCCGGTTTGCGAGCGACGTTTGTCAGTTGCCGCAACCAATTGCAAACCTCTGTTCTCACTTCCTCAATCGCTGGCCAATCATGTTGTTGTCCAAACTTGTTTCTCCCGTCAGTTTTGTCAGACCTAACAGTAAGTTTCCCCCCATTCCCGTGAGTGACCCATGCGGCCATTTCAAGCTGGGCCGGGGGTCACAATTTTGCAGTCTCGTTTTAAAACAGGTGCTTGACAACACTAACAAAAATTACCTCCATTGAATGTCGATGGCAGCGCAGAAATGACTCAACAATTGTGAGGGCTACAGTATTTAAATATTTGGAACCAACCGAGCCCTGCCAATAATCTCGTCTTCCAGCATGCACATTGTGTACTTTGTAAAAAATGAGTCTAAGAGGATTAAGTATACATTTCACATCATACGCAACAAGTTGAAGTGGTAAGGACAGCAGTTGATTTTTGTTCAAGGTCAACAGTTGATACCTGCTAGATCCAAGCAAACATCACAAACGGGTAGGAGAATAAGGGGGACAGGATGAGGGGGTGAGGGTTGAGGGCTCAAGAAAAGCGCACTCAATGCGGTCGTGGCCATATGCAAGTTGTGAAAACTACGTACTATACAGGTAAAATTTGCTGCATCTATAAAGCCTTGCGAAACAATGTGTAAACGGTACCATTGGCAACAAATACACGAGACTGGGAAAGTGCACACCTCACGATGTCGAGAGTGCTGCATGTCGTAGAGTTGTTTGCTCTCCCTGGCAATGCATTGGAATGCCTCCTCCACGTTGATATCTGCTTTAGCGGACTAGAGTAGGAAAAAGGGACGGACCGGGATTGGGATTGGGCAATTTTCATCAACCAATCAAAACACGTTATGCACTGAAATGCCCCCTCAACATTAATGTCTGCTTTCGCGGACTGGACAAGAGCAGAACAGGGTAGAGATTGGGATTGTGCCGTATGAGCAACTGATCCACACACATTCAACATGAATGCAATACTAGAGAGTGAGAAACACGGCAACTACAGATTCATGTGAAAGCCTATTTTTAGCCAACAGAATCCTCGTTAAAGGAACAAAAACTCACGGTTTCAAAGAAGCTGACATTGAACTCGCTAGCCAGTTGCTGCCCTTGTTCCTTGCTGATAACCTGATGCACATGGAAGAAGATGAGGGTGGGAGAGTAGGAGAGAGGGGTGAGAGAGAGAGAGAGGGAGAGAGAGAGAGAGAGAGAGAGAGAGAGAGAGAGAGAGAGAGAGAGAGAGAGAGAGAGAGAGAGAGAGAGAGAGAGTATAATTGTGCCTGTAAATGTGCGTATACCTATACCTGCATGTGTGTACACTACAGCTTATATCAATAACAGGACCATTAAAGAGAGAGGAGAGTGGGGGGGGGGGGGGATGGGTGGGGGGAAGTGATAATGTTACAAGGTGTTTCAAGAATTCATAGGATCGGAACATTCAAAACTGGTGCAACAGTCGTCGTAAGTTGTGTCGAACAACGTACCCTTCGGTCGTTCATGTCAGTCTTGTTGCCGACGAGAATGACGCGCACCCCGCGCGTAGAATGCTCCTCAATGCTCTTGATCCACCCTCTCACATCTATATAGCCATGCAAAAAAAGTAGCAGTTAGTAATCATAACAAAATAAAATGGAGAACACACAAACAAATGCACGAATACATAACAAAGTGCGTACTGTTGAACGATGATGGGTCGGTGATGTCGTATACGAGAATGATCCCATGAGCGTTCCGATAGTAGGCTGCAAAGTTTCAGCACGAAAGATCACGCATAAAAGAGCACATTAGGGAAGGCTGCATAACTCTGCTCTGGTAGCGGTACAAATGATAGTTGTGAGAAAGATAGCTGGCGTGAATGTGCATCAGGTAAAGCACATTCATCAGGCTCAACATATTCAGCAATGCTGCCGTTTGAACAAAGTAAAATGGTATTGGATGGCCGAAAAGAAGACTGGTTATGGACATAATATTTCTACCTTCAGTGATGGTGCGGAATTTCTCCTGCCCCGCTGTATCCCATATAGACATCTTCACCGGTTCACCGTCAATTTCCGTCGTACGGATCAAGAAGTCAACTCTGCAGTCAAGAAAGGGAAGATAAGGGTTTTTTTTACATGATCAGAAACCACATACTTGACTCCAAACAAGGAGTCATATTGCGTGTGTGTGCATGTGAGTGTGAGCACAAACATGTGTGGCTGAGCGTTGATAATTATGAATGTATGGGTGTGGAAGTGTGAGTTAGTGTCCATAAAATTTGTATGTGTGTTGGTCTGAGAGAGGAATGAGCGGGAAGGAAGGAGTGGGGAAGGAACAAATGGGTATTGGGAAGGGGAGAATGAGAGAATGGCATTGGGAGAGGGGGAAGAGGGGAAAGGTGAATATGCGTTGCTCATCATACCCAATTGTGGACGTAAGGTCGCTCCGAAATTCGTCCTGTGAAAACCGGAGAATAAGACTGCTCTTCCCCACAGCTGCCATGAACCGCACGAAGAAAAGTACGCAGAGAAAAGGGGTTATTTGTCTGTATTCCTTTTTTTTATTAGAGAAATATATTTACACGCATTGACAAGGTAATCTCGCAATACTACGTACCACTGTCTCCAATAAGGAGAATCTTGACCGCTGCAGCAAGTTTGGTCTTCTGTCCTCTCGACACGCCAGTGTCCTTCGAGACGTTATTATGGTAACCCATCCTTGGCATATCTCGGACCTTATTGGAATAAGCGGTACCGCTTATTCTTGACATCTACTCACGGTCTGGTCTTTGCTCAGGAGTATGAGGCTGTGAGTTACGTAAAAAAAAATATCAGAGCTTCGCCGAGGGTAGTAAAAACGCTCGCCTGCTGGTCTGTACTAGGGTCTGGCTGGCGTTGGCTTACAAAGCTGGTTGCACTGCTGGTTGGAAGAGAACTAATGAAGCGAAAATAGTTGACGTTCAATTTAGGGTCTCTGTTGGATGTTGCTAAGCCAATGGAATGCTCCACAAATGCACGCAACCCCGCGCCGCGCCGAAGCGCCTTGCCGAATTAAGGGTTACCGTGAGACACACGCGCCGCATTACGGTAAGCGTCATCTCCGCCGGAGTCACAGGCGCAATACCGTAAGCGTCTTCTCCGCCAGAGCGCAATACCGTAAGCGTCATTCCCGCTGAGACACACGCGCTTACCGTGACGACCACGCTTGACCAGCCCAAGTCGAATTCTTTCAACCAATCATGCGACGATTGAGCGAGCACGTCTTGCGGTAGTTATGCCACTCGGACAGGTTTTTGCCAACTCTTAGTTTTGCGATTCACGCCAATGCCTTGTGGGGTGGGACAAGTACAGTAAAATTCGCAACTGCCAGAGAATTTCGTGTTTCTTCGCCTTTTCTCGCGCCAGTGGCGAGTATTCCGGTTGACCCACAGGGAACGTGTGGAGACACGCCATACTCGATATAACATATTCACAGATTTATGCTTGTTTGATGTGTTGTTCCTTCAAATTTTCATCTCCTAACAGGCTACATCCACCAAGAGTTGTAAATATGTTTTGTAAAACTGTTATCTATGTGAGAATTCCATAATACTTGTATTATTTCACACCACAGAAAGCATACATCCAAGGACCAGGCTTCTCTCATGCATGTCGCTACACCATTTACCGATCTATTTCTTCCACTCCTCCGGGTTGTAAGAGGGCGGTGGACGCGGCACAATGCTCTTCTTCCATGCTCCGTCCAGCTTTCTTGACTCCCTCTTTCCAATGCCCTGCTCCAACTCCCTCTCCCGCCTCACAGTCAGCATCCGTGCAATCTGCGCAAGAAAGAACAGGGATTTCAATGCAGAAAATAGAATCCAATAAGTATATACGACTGAAACACTATATTGCAGGTCCTTCCTGCCACGGTTCAACCCCAAATAGCTGTGCATGACCAATTCCCAGTGCCACCTCAGCTGCCAACATAGCCGCCCATACTGCCCATGACAAATGAGCCATCTGTGCAAAGTTAGTCTCACGGAGCATTCAACGGTATGACCGACAATACGTCCCACAGTACATACCACAGTACACCCCAAGCAATGAGCTCGTGCCCATGAGCCTCCGCACATGATCCCGTGCACAGCCTGCCTGTCTCACCCCACGGATCCCCCTATCACCACGCTTCGCCTCTCATCCGCCCCCCCCTCCCCCTCTCAACCCCTTCCTCGTTCCATTGCTTGACTCTTCCCTTCACCTGCAAATTTCCCCCCCTCTCTCCCACACTCCCCCTCCACCATCTCTCCTCTCCCCATCCCGGCTCTCCCCACTTCTCCCCTTCCGCCCCACCTCCCCCAGCTCTCCCCCTCCTCCTCACCCGCACGCCCCCACGACCCGACTCACCCGCTCATCCCCACGACAATTCTCACCCGCACGTCCCCACGACAATTCTCACCCGCACGTCCCCACGACAATTCTCACCCGCACGTCCCCACGACAATTCTCACCCACACGTCCCCACGACCCGAATCACCCGCACACCTCCACGACCCAACTGACCCGCTTGTGAATGCGGCCGAACTCGCTGGGCTTGAACTCGAGGCGCGTGGCCTGCTTGGCGCGCAGCAGGAAGAGCTCGCCCTTGAGGTCCACCACCGCCTGCTCGATCTCCGCCGTCCCCATCCCGCGGATCTCCGCCAGCTCCTCCTGCTTCTTCACCGCGCTCACGCGCACCGCGCCGCCGGATGCGGCGCGAGACGCGGAGGTGCTGGAGCAGGCGAGGGAGGGGAGCGAGAGGCGCTGGCTGCTGACGTGGCAGCTACGGGAGCTGGATAGATTTGTCAGCCTGGCAGCCTGGAGACACAGCGGTGGCGGTGGTGGGGTGGGGTGCGGGAAAGAGGGGGAGAAAGGTGAGGAGAGAAACAAGATGAGAGAAACAAGGAGCAAAATTGTGAGGAGCAAGTGGCTGGGATGTCGGCTGGGTGGGGCGTAGATTCGTAAGATTCGTAATGAGGAGAGGGAGGAGGCTGGGACAGAAGCAGGAACAGGACCCAAGAGGAACCTGGGGGATCAGTCTCCCAGCAAGGGAGATGAACAGTGATGAAAAAAAAAAGACCTCAAAACAAAGCAGGGAGTTGATAATCAAGACGTCACTTTTTAACGGAGCTTTCATTTGACTTGACTCAGCTGCATTTCGAGTCGACCCAGGAGACACCTAGTTAGATACCCTACTGAGACGTCCTTCGTAAGTGTACATAACCAAATGTACTTAATCGTGGGCGTCGAGTTTCTCAACGGTATGTTTTGCACATTTCGCAATGAGAGGAGAACTGAGTTCAAAGGCTTATCGGCAACTGAAAACAGCTGGTGTGGACCACACCAGCTGACACGCTGGTGCGAACTCATTCGAATGTTGTAAGCCGACACGCTGACGAGAAACTCGTTTTAAACCTGTACACTTAAAGTGCCTCCGACAGACTAAAAAGGAACGTAGCAGGCTCTATTGACGGAGTGGTCCGGCAGTGGATGTGTGACTCGCTAAACCCTGCATAAGTCCTCACTGGACGAGGAAACAGTCTTCGTTATAGAGGTCCGGGACTGCTACAAAATGACTCGTTTGAACAACTCCATTCAGTCAGAACAGCAGGGAAACCCTAAAACGAGGAACGGACCAGGCACTAAGCATTCTGCCAGCGCGAGTCAGAAGAGAAAGGAAAGAAGGGGAGATGGACTAATGTGGCCGTAGACCTGCACCAAATGCCGACAACGCACTCGCTTCAAAAACATTAAAATTTGTGAAAACAACCATGGTGTCTCAATTGAGCCAAGGATGTCTCAGAGCGAAACCACGGACGCCTAATGTTGACAGCATTCGCGAAGCACGAACACATTATTCCTAGCCGTGCTCCCTCACCGTGCAGGCCGAGGCTTGCTGCAAGCATGAAAGCGGCGAGGACGCCATGGCTCCGCGTGACGAGTAAACCACGCGCAGTCAAGTAAACCAAAATAAGTTCTGTCTGCTAAGCAGCTGAAAGTAGATAGGGAGGTGATAGGGAAGGGAGAAGTGCTGCGGTGGGAGAAGTGAGGTAAGGGCGGGTACACAAGTAGTAAACAGTGGAATCGGGTTCAAAAAGGTAAAAATACGGTGCTGAGGGAGGAGCAGTTTTGTATCGCGAGGTACCGCCCTGCACCGCGTGAAACGAACGCTGCAAGTGACCTCTAGGATGGAAGAGGGTATGAGTGGAGGGGTCGCTTGGGGCTGGATGAGATGGTGACGTGGAACAAGGAAACGTAGAGCCTCCCGTTGAGCAGTTGGGGTGTCCTCCATTTAGTCTTTGTGTCGCTCTAGCTCACATGCTTTCTTGTTACAAGAGGAGTACAGACTACCGTATGAGAGAAGAGAGGAGTTATGTAGAGCAAAAAATGAGCTATTTTAAAAATCTTAAAGCCTTGCAGATATTCAGATACAAAATTGATAATACATTAAAATTCCTCGCATTAGTGAGGGCGTGTTTTCGATGTTTGTTTCTCTCTTGTATTACCCCACCCAACCGTCTTTCGACTTAACTTGACCACTCTAGAACAAAGAGAACCTCATTGAGCCGCACACAGAAGAACTGTGACAATTGTGTGATAGCAGGCTCATGGGCGCGGTGAGTATCCACAAACCGAAACCACAATAGCGCGAAATTACTAGGGACACCTGGAACTTGTGCATTGCTAGAACATTTGCTGACATCCCTTTCCTGGACACGATTCGGGAATCGGGCAGGATTCTTCTGACACCACCAGGGTGTACCCCGTTGCCTAAAAAATGTGTTTCAGGCAATGTACATGTACAGCATTGTTAAATACAGTACGCTACGGGGTTCGATTGGAAGACGGTTGGGCGCATATGTTTTCGTACAGCATTGTTACATACAGTACGCTACGAGGTTCGATTGGAAGTTGGTTGGGCGCATATGTTTTCGAATGTGCTGTGCCAACCGTACAGATCCCCACGTGCCTAGTACAGTACGGGAAACGCTCCACTGGAAAAAAACTCGTGATTGCCCAAGCCAACAAGAAGACAGATTATTTCGGCAACAGTGAAGTCCCGGTCTTTGCCTCCACAAAATCCACTCTCCACCCACCTCCCCCTCGTTCCCTTCAACCAAGCGACTGCAGGGAACAAGACTTCTAGACCTCCCACAGGTGAAGGAACAGGTAACAGAAGACAAAAGGTAGGTTGGTTTCTTGTTCTTTGGGTTTGCTCTGTCTGTTGCCTATGTTCCTCGGCATCCGTCGTTTCCTTGGCGTCTCTGCGTTCCCGCCCTCGCTTTCCGCATCTGGCCGCTTACCACCGCGTTTCATTCTCCGCCCTCCCGACCCGAGCCTTTGCCGCTTGATATATGAAGCTCTTGTTTCCGAAGCTCGCACTCCGAAGCTCCCACTCCGAAGCTCGCACTCCGAAGCTCGCACTCCGAAGCTCGCACTCCGAAGCTCCCACTCCGAAGCTCGCTCTCCGAAGCTCGCCTTCCGAAGCTCGCGCTCCGAAGCTCACACTCCGAAGCTCGCATTCCGAAGCTCGCATTCCGAAGCTCGCGTTTTGTAGCTCGCATTCCGAAGCTCACTCGGAAGCTCGCAATTCCGAAGCTCGCGCAAGATTGGCAATCCCCCTCGCAACTGACACAGCCGCGTCGCCCGTAGTACTAGCCCGGGATTCGACATAATGGAGAGTGACGTAGTGCGAGTGTGACACTATGGGGAGTGACGAAATAGGGAGTAACGTCATGGGTAGCAGTAATAGTGACGTGTGGAGTGACACAAACGGGGGCCTTTCTCAGCGTGTTTCAGGACGGCAATGGCGGCGGCGGCAGCGGCAAGAGCGGATATGGTGGGTGTGCGCGCTTGTGCTCCTCTTGCTCGCGCCGACAGTCCAGTACCATCGCCAGCACCCTCAGCAGCAGCAACAGCTGCGGCAGCAGCAGCGCATGCAGCGGTACTACTCGGGCGCCATGGCTTCGTGGGGCACGCGCGTGTTTCCCCCAGACTGTGAGTCGCGGGTGTTTTCACAGTATAGTCCGCTTAATGGAAACAGCCGGGTGTTTTCACATTTAGACTCGCTGTAATGAGACGATTTTGTCCCTCGACTCAAAAGCAGCAGCAGCGCCTGCACCGGGTTTCGTACGGTTCGTTTCGAACGGTGTGCGACGCGCAGGCTGGAGCTTCGTATGGGTGGGTGGATGGGTGGGGGGATGCACGGTTTGTAACGTACGGGTCGTAAAGCGGCGGCGCGGGGTGTGCGTACGGGCTGTAGTAGCGTAGAAGTTGGTAAATGACAGGCTGTAGCATGCAGGCATAGATTCTCGTTCTCAGATTCTTTCTAGACCGTTGATTCGCGGAGTGCAGCTCTCGTTAACCCTAATCGCAGCCCCACGGCTGGACTGGAAGAGTAGCACGCGTGCGTGCATTATCCCAGGCGGCGCTTCCACCCTCCGCTCCCCCCCCTCTACCCCCCACAACATACCTTCCTCTCCCACCCTCTCCACCCTTTTTCCTCCCGCTTCCCCCTCCCGCTCCCCTCTCTCTTCTCTCCCCTGCTATTTTCCCCATGCTCCGTCGCCCGCCTCTGACCCCACCACACTCAACAAGGGGCAAGGCAAGCCCTGGTGGCTCTGAGGAAACCCCTCTATTCATTTTGAACCCTAGCGGCATCCCGAAGCCGTTCCAGACAGGGATACGGATCGGTTAACACAGGTTCTTCTCACCCTCCATCTCCGTTAGAACAGGGACGCATCTCCCTGTTCCTTGTGAACCCTAGCCGCAGCCCAGAGGCGTTCCAGACTGGGACCAGAAGCGGTTAGCATAGATCCTCACCGTCCATCCCCTCACGCATCTCCCTGTTCATTCTGAACCCGTTTCCGACTGCTCCCCTCACTCATCTCCTCTCTCTCCCCCCCTCCACCCCCTTCCCGAATGCTCCCTCCCCTCGTCCTCCCCACCCATTCCTCCTCTTCCCCCCCAGGGAAAACGCTGGTGACTCTGCGAGACCAGCTGACCTTTGTATACCCTAGCCGCAGCCCCAAGGCGTTTTCCTCCTCCTTCCCCTCGACCACTTTCCCCTCGTCCCCCCCCTTCCCTCAACATCCTTTGTCCCCGCCGTTCCAGGGAAAGCGCTGGTGACTCTGCGAGACCAGCTGACCTTTGTGAACCCTAGCCGCAGCCCCAAGGCGTTCAGCCTCATCTGCGCCCCTCCCCTTCCCATCCGCTCCCCTCCCTCCACTTGTCTCCCCCTCTCCCCCACCCCCCGTCCCCTCCACCTCCCCCCAAAACAGGGAAAGCGCTGGTGACTCTGAGGGATCAGCTGACCTTTGTGAACGCTAACCGCAGCCCCAAGGCGTACTGGAAGAGCGCAGAGAACTGCGAGGCTCTATACGGGGTGGTGTGCGACGTCAACGGCTACGTCACCGCGCTGTGAGTCCTTTTGCTGTGAGTTCTGGGTTACCTCGCTGTGAGAGTGGCAACAGGCAAACCCGGCCTGGCTGTGTTATCGAGCCCTAGCCGCAGCCCCAAGGCGTTCTGGAAGAACTGCGATGCGCATTTTGGGGTGGTGTGTGATGTCAACGGCCCGCGCTGTGAGTGCTGGGTTACCGCGCTGTGAGTGCTGGGTTACCGCGCTGTGAGTGCTGGGTTACCGCGCTGTGAGTGCTGGGTTACCGCGCTGTGAGTGCTGGGTTACCGCGCTCTGGGTGTGGTGTGGCAACAGGCAAACCCGGCCTGGCTGTGTTATTGAGCCCAAGCCGCAGCCCCAAGGCGTTCTGGAAGAGCACGGAAAACTGCGAGGCTCTATATGGGGTGGTGTGTTGCTATGTCACTGCGCTGTGAGTCCTTTTGCTGTGAGTGCTGGGTTACCGCGCTGTGAGTCCTTTTGCTGTGAGTGCTGGGTTACCGCGCTGTGAGAGTGGCAACAGGCAAACCCGGCCTGGCCGTGTGATTGAGCCCCAGCCGCAGCCCCAAGGCGTACTGGAAGAGCGCAGACAACTGCGAGGCTGTCTATGGGGTGGTCTGTGATGTCAACGGTTACGTGACTGCGCTGTGATGTGAGTGCCAAACGGCAGAAGTGACTATGCTATCACGCTAGATCGAGTGCCAGAGGCGCTCGCTCTACGGGGTGGTGTGTGACGTCAACGGCTATGTCACTGCGCTGTGAGTGGCAAACGTGGTTTCGGTTTCGGCTAGGATGCTAGGCTGTGAGTCGCAGGCTAGCTAGGCTTCCCTTGGGGGTGGTCTGTGACGTCAACGGCTAGGTCACCGTGCTCTGAGTGGCAGATATGGTTTCGGCTGTTGCCATGCTGTGATGTGAGTAGCAGGCTAACATGTGGCGCAGACAACTGCAAGGCGCTGTTTGGGTTCGTCTAGTGGGACTGGCGGGGTGTTTCCGAGTCAAGGTGTGAAACTCTTTCCCTCACCTCATCTCCCCGTCGCATCTTCCCTCCGCCTTCTGCCATGCCTTCTCCACTTCGCAGCACCCTGGAGGAAGTGGTGGTGGGCCCACTCCCAGCACCCATTGGGAGAGACGCTTAAGAGTCCCCTACCATTTCCCTATTTGAGAATCCTCGAAGCCACCTCCTACCCTGCCCCCTGCCCTCTCCCCACCGCAGCACCCTAGTGGGAGTGGTGGGGCCGCTACCAGATGCCATCGAAAGAAACGTTTGAGAGTCCCCTACCCCCTGCGTCTGGCAGACGCCGTAGGAGTCCCCTACCGTTCTCCTATTAGAGAATAGTCAACTTTTGAGGCGCCTCAAAAGGAGTCCCCTACCATTCTCCTATTACCATTCTGCCCTCTCCTCTGCAGCACCCTAGTGGGAGTGGTGGGGCCGCTCCCAGACGCTATAGGGAACCTTCCTTCACTCTCCTTCCTGTAAGCTTCCTCCTCACTGCTCCGCTCTGCCCCCAACGCCCCCCTCTGCCCCCCTCCCCCACCCCCCCCCCCCCCCCGCTCCGCTCTGCCCTTCTGCTCTGTACCATCCGCTTCCTTCAAGAACCCGCTGCATTTCAAAGTCATTCAGCTATGCTGGCCGTCTTTTGCATCCCTGCCTGACAAAAGTACCAAGCAAAGTGACTTTTGAGTCGACTCGAAAGGCAGTCATTCAACTGTGTTGGCCGTCTTATGCGTGCCTGTCTGGTTAAAGTACCAAGCATGGATTCATATTCTCCTCCGCTGTTCCACATCCCCATTATAAGCAGATCCATTGCCAGCAACCTGACGAGCCTTCCCTCCACCCTTGTTCAGCTCAGCTCCACACTCACAGCTCTGTACACCCTCTTTCCTTCCTCTCTCTCACTCACAATCGCATTCACTCCCTCACTCCCCTCACTCACTCACTAACTCACTCATTCATGTGTTTCCCTATATCACGGCTTTTTAATCTACTCTTGCACGGCTTAACATATGCCTGACTGCACCTGCTCTGCCTATCCCCTCTCTGCCTATCCCCTCTCTGCCTATCCCCTCTCTGCCTATCCCCTCTGTGTCCCCTCTATCCACTGCAGCCACTTAGGCTTTAACAACCTAGCTGGAACCTTCCCTTCCGTTGTGTTGCGGCTGCTGCAGCTGCGCACACTGTAAGACTGGCTGCCCTCTGCTCTGCTGCATCGCACTGACATGCAAACCATTTCCTTGCACTGACGGGCTGCTCTGCTGCTCTGGTTTTGTATTGGCATGGGATTGGCACTTGCAATCTGCCTAGGCAGGCATGTCATTTCCTTCCGCTGTGACTCGCCTGTTGCAGCTGCGCTCACTGTAAGACTTGCTGCTCTCTACTCTGCTGCATGTGTCACCACCACCCTTGCATGGCATGGGCACTTGCTGTCGTTCCCTCAGAAGGTGCGCAGGCAGGCATGTCATTCCCTTCTGCTGTGACTCGCCTGTTGCAGCTGCGCACACTGTAAGACGGGCTGCTCTTTCTTCTTCTGCATGGGCCTAGACACGTCAGCCTCCGACCAACCACCCGCCCCCATCCCCCAGCAATCTCGCTCAAAATCAGCTTACAGGAAACGTCCCCACTGGCCTGGCCAAGCTCTTTCCATCACAGCCACTCTGCATCCGTTCCCCTTTTACTTCCTCTCCCCCCCCTTCTGACCAACTTCCCGCCCATTTCCCAGCAATCTCGCTCAGAACCAGCTTACAGGAAGCATCCCCACCGGCCTTGCCAAACTTTCTCGCCTGGCTTTCCTGTAAGTACGCGTGCCAAGCCATGCCATGATGCTATTCCATGCCATGCCATCCGATCCTATGCATCCCATGTATTGCCACCTTGGCCTGGTTTCAGCTGTGTGTGTGCTGCATCTTTGAAAGGGCTCATATTTCCTATCCCTTCTCCCTTCTCTCATTCTGTCTTTCCTTTGCAGGAGCTTGGATGGCGATCAGTTTACATGCCCCTTTCCCTCTCAGCTCTACTTGCCATGTTTTGAGTCGACTCATAACACACTTGCCCGCCCCCTCACACACTCCCCTTCCCCATGTGTCCTCCCCCTCCGTTGCAGTCGCTTAAATGGCAATCATTTGCAAGGCCCCATTCCCTCGCACCTCTACTCGCTGTCTTTCGACTCGACTCAAAAGACGCTTGCCCCCCCCCCTTCCCCACCCCCCCCCCTGCCCTCCCTCAATTCCCCCTCCCATGCCGTCTTCTTCACCCCTCCGTTGCAGCCGCTTGGACGGCAATCAGTTTACAGGCCCCATTCCCTCACAGCTTTACTCGCTTACCAACATCACATACCTGTTCGTACCTCCCAGTACCTCTTTGTTTGACGAACTCACCTGTTTGTTTGCTGAGATGCCTCGAAGTCTTTGGGATTGTTTCAGCCTCTATGCGTTTGGAGCTCTACAACCCTCACCTCTCACCTATTCGTACCTCCTGGTACCCCAGTTGTACTCCCATCTCGCATGTCTCCTTTACCCACTCTCTGCCCCTCTGCTCTCTCTGCCCGTGTCCCTCACTGAATCTTGCTTTCCAATCCTCTTCCTCCCTCTCTGCCACCCCCTGTTCTCTGCGATCGAACTGCCTCTCTGGCACCATTGCACCGCAAGTGCCTTCTGAAGCACCTTATAAGAACCCCTCTCATCTCATCTCGCCCCTCTCATCTCATCTCGCCCCTCTCATCTCATCTCGCCCCTCTCATCTCATCTCGCCCCTCTCATCTCATCTCGCCCCTCTCATCTCATCTCGCCCCTCTCATCTCATCTCGCCCCTCTCATCTCCTCTCGCCCCTCTCCTCTCCTCTCGCCCCTCTCCTCTCCTCTCGCCCCTCTCTCTCCTCGCCCCTCTCCTCTCCTCTCGCCCCTCTCCTCTCCTCTCGCCCCTCTCCTCTCCTCTCGCCCCTCTCCTCTCCTC